TAAGAAAGTTACAGAACTGAACATTCTGATGGACCTTTTTGGACACATAAAAGATAAAATAATTTCTAGGAATTACCGGCGAAAACATTTTAAACCCGATAAATTGCTATACCGGACCGAGAATCGAAGCTAGCCTCCTCCGGCAGGGAGGCCGCTTAATGATGGGTACAATTTTTAATTTAATCTTTGAACTTTTGATTGTTTACAAATATTGCAAAGCGAATCAAGTTAATCAATTTTTTGATCGACAAATGGACATTAGACTGATGCAAAATTTGAAATTTTCGCTCCACAGTGCTTAAACGGTTCCAAATTGGGTCCTGCTTAGCCTCCAAAAATTTGAACTAGTTTAGTAAGAAACTGACTTGGCACAAACCATTTCAAGTTTATATGGGAATTACTATAGGAAAACTTATGTTTTTGTTCATATCTATCTAGCAATTCACCACATCACTATGCTTTTAAAAATGATTGCAGTGCTTCTAGCAAATTTGTCAGCTACAACTTTGTTTTCAATCAAATGTAAGGAACAAAAGTTATTAATGATTTAAATCACTGATGTCTTATGATTATGCTCATTCAACTGTTCAGCAGGCAACATTGGTGTTTCTAGCGCGTAGAATAGAGCACAAAAATCATGGCTACTATGTTGCACTGCAGAATACAGTGTTTCCCACAGAACAACTGCTTGATCATGCCAGAAGATTATCAATCTCTTAAACAATTAATAACAATTTAATTTGGCATTTGGCTGAAAAACGATATTGCGTCAATGAACAAAAAAGTTTGGTTTTCCCATAGTAATTTCTATATAAACTTGGAATAGTTTGTGTCAAATCAGTTTCTTACCAAATGAGTTTAAATGTTGGGAGGCTAATCAGGACCTGATTTGAAGCACTGTGGAGCGAAAATTTGAAATTTTGCATCAGTCTAATGGACATATAACCCATTCAAAAGAACTCCAGAATTCCTGTTTCCTCTTGCTATTTATTCTCCTTATCCATTTCCTATTTTAAAATTTCTGAATAATAAATTTAGAATCAATTATATATAAAAAAGGAGGTCCCAACTTTAATCGTTTACAAAAATCTGTATTTGTGGCATCGCTGGTTCACGGATACATCGAGCAGTTCCAGTTGTTCGAGAGAAATAATTCCTGCTGAAAGATGTTCGAATTTCAGTGCTTTTCTACACTTAAAACTTAATTGATTGTAATTCTTGTAGCAACCACAAAATCCAGCATCAAAAATGATTTTGATGCTGGATTTTGTGTTCGCTTCACGCTCAGTTTCTTCCGGATGTTTAGGAGTGAATAGCAATCCTATATATATAGAGATTCGCAGAACTGTCAAAATGTAAGCCTAACCAGCATTTTCATTAGAAATATTCAAAGGATTTTTCATTGAGATGAAAAGTATTGTAATTGGGGTGAAATAAATTTATAAATAAAAAAATAGCTGCGTATGTTAACATAAGAGAGTTTTAGACAGTGTTGCTTCCACTCACTTGCTATAAAAAAATGTTTTTCGGAATTGTTTTTGAAATCTTAAGATGTTATTTGTATTTATTGTATAAATCCATCTGACATCGTGGTCTTGGTCTTAATGAATAAAACTTAACTAAAAAAAGCTTCAACACGTTGTACAGAAAAAAACAAAATCATTCTGGTCGATTCCGTAGGCGGTTTCGAAAGACGTTGGTAGGGGCCTCCCTTAGCTCAGTCGGTAAAGGCGCAGCTACAAAGCAAGACCATGCTGGAGGTGGATGGGTTCGATTCCCGGTGCGGTCTAGGAATTTTTCGGGTTGGAAAATTTCTCAACTTTCCTGGGCATAGAGTTATGATTGTACTTGTTGCCACACAATTATACCAATGCAAAAATGGTACAGGCATCGAAAGCTCTCAATTAATAACTGTGGAAGTGCATCTAGAACACTAAGTTGAGAGCACGCAATAAGCTAATATGCGATATGCATTAGGCTTGAAATGCGAAGAAGAAGAAAGAATGGTAGAGATATTGAAGTCAAACAAGCTGTAATTGTCTTGGAGTCTTCGACTTATAGAATCATTGGGATTGCTGGATCCGTACTGTGTTCGTCTCGTTGGCTGGCGCAATAGCTGTCTAGATCGCAGCACAATGAGAGGCGTAGATGTTGAGCTGACTCAGCAATGCAGTAAATAAAAAATAAATAAATAAATAAATTTCAGAGCGTAAAATTTTGGCTCCTAAGATAGCTTGGCTGAACCTGCGTCTATCCACTAGCGGTTCAATACCAAGCAGCGCACAGCGGTGCTCGTAGGGTGGTAGTCGTAATGAGTCGGTCCATGGCAAGCCTCGTAGAGCACATCTCACAAATTTCCGCTACACTGATTCGATTCGTGAAATCCACACAGCATCGTACGGAGACCAGACGGCAGAAGAAAATTCAAGAATTGATCTAACTAGCGAGCAATACAGAGATCGCAAACACAGAGGGTCATCGAATTCGTTCGCTATCTTGAGAATAAATCCAAGTTGACGATTTGCTTTATCAACTATTTCCGAATAGTGCATTTTGAATGTGAGTTGATAATCCAGTACCACACCCAAGTCTTTAACATGATCAACCCGATTCAGTACAGTACCATTGATAGTATAGTCAAGTAGGATATTTAGGATTGCTCGTTCTTTGAAAGGATATGATACAGCATTTGGACACACTGACTGCTAGATGATTCAGTGCACACCAACTTACAAACAAATCTAGCTGTTGTTGCAATTGACGGCAATCATTGGTGCTGCTAACAACCAGGTAGATTTTCAAATCGTCTGCGTAGAACATTAGGCAGCAATTCAGAAGAACGTGGGATACATCATTGACGAACAACGCGAATAACAGCGGCTCCAAGTTGCTTCCGAAATCATTGATTTATTTGATGTTTTCTGCTTGATAGACCAAAAATTGGCACTTAGGCCGAAGTAGTTCTCTACCCTACTGTGTTTCTTCTGCTCAGGTTTCTTGCATTAATACATGCTTTTTCAGACATTTCCCATAACAACAGTTAGGCTAATTTTGTGCAGGAAACTTTTTGATTCTTGATTTTGAATATCTTGATCATCAACATGTTAATGTAAATCTCATCTAATTTTTTTTTTCAAGGTAAACGTATTGTAGAGCAATTCTGCTGAAAAAATTATATGATCATCTCTAAACGGTATTATTTTTCAACGCCTTTTGTGTTTAAGGCTAGGTTGATGTTTTTATTGTTTTTTTTTAATAACCTGGAATTGAAAAATTGGATTTGAAATGGTGTCCACGTCAGGGGTTGAAATAGTCGACGTTTTTTACTACACTCGCTTCGTTGTCGTGCGCGACAGTCTGTTTGTATTCGAACACTCATGCTCTACCGTCGTCTCTCTCACACAACACGAGCGGTAAAATAACATTCGAGCTAAAAGAAAATTATCAAAATAGCTATCATATGACATGTGTGATTTCGTTGTTATTCCTCCATTTGGTGTAAATCAAACCATTTCTGATCAGAAATATTATTACTAGGACATCATTGCTTGCTATTTTCAGAATTCACACAAGTACACCATTAGCAGCTCTTATTATGATAAAAACTAAAATACATACATTCGTGACGGTCTTCGGCGACAGTGTCGTATGACAGAGCCTGTCATATGACATTTTAGTTTGGTACTGTACTATGAAAGCTTGTTTTGCAAGTGTCGGAGGCAAAGGCAGTCAATTATCACAGAAAATGTGTCGACTACCGTGACCGCTTACAAGACTGGTCCACGTGCTTCGAAAACACTAAGTTGAGTGCAGGAAAAACGCTCGCCTTAGATGCGCAAAAAAGCCTAGAAGAAAGAAGAAACTCTCCATGGATAATTATGGCATTTGTCGTTGTCATCTTAGTCATATGTCAAAAATACCCTTACCTATAATTTTCTTACCTCGGTATCGCTTACCTTTGTTTGTCTTTGTTTGTTTTCGTTTCGAGATTTTTCCATCTTCACCGCTCTAAACATAAAAGGGACTGTTTCCGTGCAGCATATTCAAACAACAATATTTGTTAAGCATTATTCCTTTATTTCTGTGTCACTTACAATAATTAAGTGTTTTCTCTAGATTAACAAAATTTCGAAAATTAACTAAATAGTATGCTACCAAGAAAATACTTGTAAAGATCCACTTCATGAAGCCATAACTGAGCAATTTAATCAAATTACTTGAAATGAAAAAAAAAAACAATTCTTATCGTAGCGTAATCTCGATTTAGCACTTTTTCCTTCGACCAAACAAATCGTCAACTTAATAATAACCGTGGGAAATCCCGTTTATTGTCCACAACACAACGAATGAAACAAAAAAAAATACGGTTCTCTTCGTCATCTCCAATGAATCGTTCAAATTGTTTTCTTTTCCTCCTGCTTGCCAATTAATCTCGCAGCCAATTTAGCAAGCAGATGACCCGTCCGACGACCGTGCGAAACAATTAGCACCTTCATCTGCTTCGGCGGGTCGATCACAAACACTAACTACTCCACACATACACAGGCACACCGAAAAGGCTTACCAATCCCACCGCAAAAAAAGAAAGCAAAACATAATACTGATTTGAATGCAATCATGGGGTGGTGAACGGAACAGAGAAGACGTTACTATTTACAGAAAACATTGTGAAAAGGGTTTGTATGTTATATCCGTGTTAAGAATGTCGTCTTTATTTTCGGTTTTAGATTTTTTTTACAATTGTGTTTGTGTGTTTGTATCTCTATATAGAATTGTTTTTTTTTTGTTGTTGTTACTATGTATTTTGTTTTCTCCTAACGGTATAGGTTGTTCTTTAATACTTAGCAGGCAATCAAACTAATTAAGTAGCGCAGTGAAAGCTAGCAAGTGCTGCATTTTTACATTATTTTCTCTCGTTTTCGTACACAGGATTTCTATCTTTGCACGTTCCTTAGACTCTAAAATCGTTGCATTTATGGAGAAAAAAAAACTAACAGGTCTTACAGGCTAAAATTATGTTTATTAAAATTATATATCATTTTTTACATTGCACTTAGTTGTTGTTATTCTTCCATCTTGTCTGTTTAATTAAGGTTCCAAATTTAAACAGTTTTCCTTCATAATTTGGTTTGGAATCAATCTCAAATCGAAATGGTCCTGCCTCGCTACGACGGCGCTCAGGATTTCCATGAATGATGTTTTTTTTATCAAGGGTTAGCTATCGGGAGGCTTTTGAGGTACAGAAACGCAATCTAGGACGGGGTTCACATTATGTGTTTCGGTTTGCTTCATAAATTATTCATAACGCAAATGGTGCTCCTCGCGGTATCGCGTGGGGGTGAATTCCGTGAATGGAATTTTACTAGGTTGTTGAAACGGCGCGCTGTGACACAACAAGATGGTTGAGCGATTTTGACTCTAATAAGGCATTTTCATCCATTCTGTGCGTGGCCTTTCAGTTTGGTGGTTGGAAAAATGAAAAATTTAAAATGCTCATTTGTTTGCCTTCCCGTTACTGCTGAAAGGGACCCGTTCCTAGCTACAATTGCCTAGGCAAAATCGCTTTTCTACTAGTAAATTGTTAAGCTGAGACTACACGATCGATAATTTACGAGACATTTTACACGCTAGAATGTATAAACCAAAGAAATAAGTTAATCAAACGAACCACATCACATTATGCTTAAGGAGCCCGGCGGAACCTGCGGGCCGGGGCCCTGATTCAGATGCTGAGACGTTGGCACCCCGAGGTGCGGATGCAGTGGATGGTGGGCGTGGTGCAGTCCCATCGAGCTCATTCCCATGCTCATGGCGCTCATCTGGTGCAAGTGGGACAGATGCAACGATGGTTCGAGTTTCGGCTTGGTGTCCACCAGCAGACTGGACATGGACTGGACACCGTTGTGTTGGGAATGAGCCACGACCAGCGATTGGCCGTTCAGGCAACCGGGACCAATTTCGGCCTTCTTCTTCTGCTTGCGGTCCTTGGCGCGTCGGTTTTGGAACCAGATCTTGACCTGTCTTTCCGAAAGCTGCAACGTTTGGGCCAGCTCGGACTTCCGTCGGATTGTGATGTATCGGGTGTAGTGGAATTCCTTCTCCAGCTCTAGCCGCTGCTGGTCGGTGTAGACGACGCGGTACTTGTCCTTGGTGCGGGTTTTCCCTATGAAACCAGAAAGGGAGAAAGAGAAAAATGATTACCTTTAATGCGTATTGTTGAAATTGGTAACTGCAAAGTAGCTAGGCATATCAAGCGGTGCTTTCACAAGTGCTATGATGTTATGATATGTAGGAAAATAAGGTCAAAACATTCATAAAACAGATGACAATGATGAATATGTGCATGAAGATTCTTGGTTTTTTCTACGCCGTGTAATTCAGAGCTGGGTAACCGAGTACCCCGTCACCCACATAACGGTTAATCGTCGCGTAAAATCTCTCCGATGTAATTTTGAGCTTTAGAGAGATAATCAAATTTTTAGGTTATAATTTCTCAACTACTACTTGTGTATTATGTTTTTCATGTGCTACGTATTCGTGATGGCAACAGTTTGAGTTAAATACAAAAATGTGCAACCATGGGCGTAGACAGGTTTCAAAATAAAGGAGTGTAAAATTTAAAATGAATTGCTAATATTTCAATGGAAAAGAAGTCTAGATCTAGAAGTCATGAATTAAGTGTAAGTCTAAGATCTCAAACATATTGTTGGTCGAAAACAAACTTCATCCGAACCTCTGTGACAACAATCACGTACCAAACCAAGAAATACATCACCTGCGATCGAGGTTTAGATTAGATTTATTTATTAAAGAGACTTTCTGTCGTGGGCTTGTTCAATCCATAATCGATATCGGGGTGTGAATTCTAGAAACTTTCACGCATATTTTTCTCTAGTCAATTCCAATGTTGCGCAATAATTAGATCATTCATTCCAATAAGACAAGAGCAAAGCCCAAACACTCAAGTCGGAAGAACCTTTCGAAAGGAGGAAAAAGACAGTTAAATGAAAAACCCAGGGGAAGCCAGAAGGATTTCTGGGAGATGTCAGATGAATTTACCGGGAGAAGATGGAAGGATTTCCCACTGGAAGTTGGTAGAAACTTCCAGGATAAGTTGAAATACAGAGGAATTCAAAAGGGACTCACGGAGAAAGTTGAAGTTTCCGGCAAAAATCAAAAAGACTTTTCGATTAAACTTCCGATGTCAATCGGACTTAGCTCCCGGCAGAATTTGAAGAACAGAAAAAATTAGAGAAACTTCCGGGGGAAGTCCGCAGTAATATCTGTAAGGTGTAACAAAAACTTCCGAGAGAAGTTAGAATAATCTACCAAGAGAAGTCAGAACAAAAATTCCGAGAAAGAAATTTCCAGTACAAGTCAGAAGTCAGAAGGAACAGTCCGCATCGTTCTCTCTTGCCGTGCGGATCTATTTGCTTTTTGCACTTTTCAGTGCTAAATATTACCTGTAATGTTCTATTTTTATTTCTCTTCGATCCTTGTTTGGACCCTACCCGAGATAATCCTACTTGGACATGGATTTAACAAAAATCCTCTTCGATCAATCCTTCGGATTCTTATAGTAATCTGCTTCGAAGTCGATTTAGAGAAACGCTTTTCTGCCGCCATGACGCCTAAACGTAAAAGAAAAGGGCAATCTCTTGATCCCCTTTTGATGACATTTATTTGACGAATCAATTTGATGTGCTTAATTACACTAACCATTCCCGGCTTAATGCCAAAAAGGAAAAGGTCCCTCATATTGTGGTAACCACTTCCGATTTCCATGCTCTTCGCACAGAACTTTTGAACTTAGTTTAATTCAAGTGTTCACTTCAAATTGGCCATCGATCCCTGGGTCAGATCAAAGATGAATTGACAAATTTACTTGGAGTTGAGTCAGTGCAAGTAATCAAAATGAAAATTTAATCCCGTCCTGGCGATTCGCGCAACGGGATTTCTAATGATTTTTTTTTATTTAGTTGACATAAAGTCTAGTGAATTAAATAACCTTAAGGCCTTAGAAAAAGCTAGCCCGATTTCTATGAAGGAAGATCATAATAAATTCAAATGTCCAAATTGTGGAGAAAACCACAAGTTCAATTGTTGGTAATGGAAGACTCGCAAAGCGATCCTACAATCTCGTTCTAAACGACAGGTAGGAAACGCTCGACGTTCCTGATCAGGTACAAATTCCTCTGCTGTTAACAATGGTCAGCGAGGAACAAATTCTGCATTCGTACCCGTTCACCCCTGCTTCAAATTCTTCATCTATACCTGCTCCCCTCGCTGCTAACAATGTTCAGCGAGTTAATGGAGCTACCTATGCTGCTATTGCTATTGTGTTGACGTGATACTCGCTGTGAAGGAAAGCGAGAAGTCCTCTGCGCTTCCACGAAAAATCACTGGGTTTTTGGATGTGGGGAAAGGTGTACAACAGGGATCGTTTTGGCAAACTGATGTTGATTGCAGCGATTTATAATAGGTACACACTATAAAGGACTATAAACAGAACATCAAATGATATATCCCTCGAACCTTTCAAATCACCATACTCCAGGCTTTCAAGGATTCCAAGTGGCTGCACATTTCGGAAAACTTAGCGGAGCTCAACGAAACGTCCTAAATTGAGTCATTTGTGCATTCTCAGGCACTGTTTGTAGCTGGCTTGATCTCCTTTGAAAAGTTATCTCTGCTACGGTACCCAATTTGCAGTAGCTCGTTCCGTGCACACTTTGAAACTCAGCATTAAAACACAATGAAAAGCAATTTTATGGAAAACTTTAAGTTAGAGGAAGAAAAAATATGCAGGAAAAATTTAAACTTCTATTTTCAAGCGCAGCCTACTTCGTTTTCCCTATGTCAGAGAAAAATTCCACAGAAGTTTTTGGAAGAGCTCTTATAGCACGTTCAGACTACAGAGTTATAACATATTATAGCGCTAGCTTGATGGTGGTTTCTGTGTTGCAATTATTTGACAACCGTTATAACATGTTATAACTATCAAGTCTGTACAGCGTTTTAGATAGTTTTGACTAGAGAGGGTCTAGTATAAGAGAGGAGCGGACTGGCTGGTTTTGAGCCAAACGAACTGTCAAAGCCAGAGCCAATCGAGCAGCGCCTATCTTGATTGCATTGGCAGTGTTGCTAGAAACCAACTAGGCATAGTTTGCCAAGACTATGTGTTTTGAATCCGCTCCTCTTTTATACTAGACCCTCTCTAGTTTTGACTAAAACGCTATGTCAATTGTGTGAGTTCAAAGTAGATTTTTAGGTGGTTCTGTGAGAAAATCCATGAAGTTATTATTATTATTATTTATCCTTATTAGGGAGGCTTTCAGCCTTGGGCTGGTTCGCCTCCAATCCATGAAGTTTATAAAAGGGATTACAGGTCCATTTCTAATGAATATTCTAAATAAGTTCTTAGAAGATTGTGAAGAGAGTTCTTTAAAGAAATCCAAATAAATTTCCGACCGTATTGAATTCTGAGGAAATTATAAAGATAATTTCAAATGAATTTTAAAGAAACCCTCAAGAGAAATCCGTGAAAAATCTCAAGGGTTTATAATTGTTTGGGTGTAATTCTGAGAAAAGTTTTATGGGAATTCCGAGGATACTTCCAAGTGTATTTTGAGAAGATTTTCTAGATAATCCTTAGATGAATTCCAGGTGAATTTTCAGAAGTTTTTAAAGGAGGCTCTAGGATAATTCATAGCAGAATTTGAAGACAATTCTGAGTTGCATGGACATTTTATGAGATAATTCAAGCGAATTTTAAATATGTAGAACTATTGAAGGGAACATTTCGAAGAGAAGCTTAGGATAAATTCCATGCACTTTTGGGAGTTTTCTGCAGAGAATTTATGGCTATAATGATATGTTCAAGGAACCAGAGAGAATCTCAAATTTATTTTAGTGGATTTCTGAAAAGAACATTAGAATGAAATCCTGTACCTACTTATACTCTGAGATTTCAAGATCCAGGAAAAAATGTGTTGTCTTAGTAATGACCCTTTCAACATATTGCTCCATTGAATCCGGTTCAATGCTTGATTTAAATGTATAACACATGACCGGGAAAATTACTTAAATTCAGCGAAATATCAGACAAAAAAACCAGGAAAGTGCTAATAGGGATTTGGTGGTCACCACGAAGACAATTCTTAAAGTTCGTTGGGAATTCCGAGACAAATGTCAATGGAATCGAATTCGAAAGATTAAATTCAAAAGGTATCTAAGGAATGAGGTAACCAGCCAGTGGCTAAAAGCGTTTATAATAATGAAAATAAAATTGATTCTGAGGGCAATTTTAACATGATTTGCCGAAAATGCTGAGGAAATTCAATGGGAATTTTTAGGGGAATTCCAATTGGTTTTTTACTAAAATTCAAAAGTGAAGTGGAACATGATTCTGAGCATAATTTTAAGACGTTTCTGAGATTAATTTCATAGAAGAAGAAATCTTTAGTGAACGCTTGCGACAATCATTAATATTGAAAGACAATCTTAAACGCTGGCCAGATTTGGATAGTTATAATGTTTGTCAAATAATTGCAACATAGAAACCACCAGCAAGATAGCACTATAACATGTTATAACTCTGTAGTCTGAACGTACTATTATGGTGTATTCCAAGAATTTTGTGGAGTATTTCTGGAGTTATACAGAAATTTTCAAGGAAGTTTCTGATAAAATCTCAAGCTTAAGGGGAATGATACTAAGAAATCCTGTAGTAAGTAATGAGAGAATTATCAATGTATTCAAGACAGACATGAAGATTTCTGACGCAGAAATAATTTCAAGATCTAGGAAAAAAAAATGTGTAATGACCCATTTAACTTAGTGACTTCTTCAGTTCAACCGTAATCAATTTGGAATACTTATCTTTAATGTAAGATTACAATTGCCAAAACAATGCAACACTTTGATTTGTGTATAACGTTTTATTACATGGATAAAAATTGTTGAAATTTTGAGTCAAACTAGTTTAGTGTGTAATGTTTACATGTGTAAAATCTCGTCACAATCTCTATTGAGATGGCTTCCAAGCAAAAAGTGCTTCGACAAAAATTTATGAGAGCGTTCGTGGAAAATCCTGGCTAGTCCCAAAAGTGGATCGCGAAACAGTTTGGAATCGACAATTCAACCGTGTTCCGTGTAGTAAAA